GGGTGGAGAGGGAGGTGGGAGGGGGGACCGGGATGGGGAATACATGTAAATCCATGGCTAATTCATTTCAATGTATGACAAAAACCACTGCAATGTTGTAAAGTAATTAGCCTCCAACTAATAAAAATAAATGGAAAAAAAAAGAAGCTAACTTGAGGTAGACAGTGTTGGAATTGAACTGAACTGTAGGAGAACTGGTAGGTATGGTGAAGAAAACTCCACACATTTGGTAAGAGTAGAAATGATACGTGATGATCTAAGTCCTATTTTTATATTGAAAGTGGAATTCATAAGTATGATTAATGGTAAAAAAAAAAATAAAGTACAATTATTTGTTCAAATATTTGCATTTCCTATAGGTGAGAAATGAAATATATAGCCAGGAAATCCCTGTATCTTATGCTTATAGATAAAGTACTTTGACAAAATATACTCAGGCTGGGCACTTGATTTAGTACTATACATAGCAGCAAACTAAGAGAAACTATCATTAGACCATTGATAAAGCATTGCCCCTCAATTGAGCCTTTCTGCAAACCCTGCTCAGTAAAGCCAAAAAACTGAACATGGACTGTAATAGTGACATCTGCTGGATACCTGATAATGCTACAAAGACAAATGAGGATTTTAAACTAGGCTTCCACTATAGAAAAATATTGTTCTTCAAACTCCTAAATCAAAGGCAAGATGTCATGTTTCTGACTTCAAGAATCACTGTTTTAATCACACAACTTAAGAGTGGCTAAGGAGAACACCTACCAAATGGGTTTTCTGGGACTAGCATGGATTTAACATGACAGAACCTCATTACTTTGATCAATACAGTGTGAGGCTTGCAGAATGCATCCAGAGACTCCCCACAGAAGCAGATCCCGAACAGTAAAACAGAAACTCCACAGCAATGAGTTCTATATCTGTTATTTCTATACATAGTTATCTCAAGAGCTTATCTAAAACTCTTAATATTTCCTCTAATTAAAATACACATACACACACCATGTATAAGTATACAAGCTATGAAATCTCCCAAAATAAGGCATCCAGGCATTTCACCACTAGGATGACCATCCACAAAGGAAATGACAAGGACCACACCCTTGAGACCAGCATCTCACCCCATGTGTCTTTGGCAATATTCTTTTCAGCACAACACTCAGAGATTTCCTCTTTCAAAGAGGAAAATTACCTATATATTTTAGCAAAGACTTTGGGTTCAAGCACTGTGCAAAAGACTGAAATTAAAAGCAGATTGAGTCTCCTTCCTTGGTTCAGAGAAGGGGACTTGAGAAGGGGTGCCCAATGCTCCCCTCATTATGGAGGTATTAGCCTTACAGTGCTGCCTGTGCTGTTTCCAGCCTATTCCCCTTGACTCTTCAGTCCCACCGTTTAGCCAATTTGTTCTTCCTTTCTGGCCTAGGAACCTACATCCATTCCTGTATTTAGGTCAAAACATTATTCATCTAATGGTAGAATTCAATCAGTGATATGTCCAACTGTGTGATTACTCCTCCCTCCCCAATATGTAATCCAATGTCTCTTCTCTTCTCTTCATAGTCAGCCTAGGAAGGACTTTTCACCTTCCTCACCTTGCTCATTTCCCCTTGCCTCATCTCCAGCTATGGAGGCTTTCCTGGAATTCCTGCCTTTCCTGAAGAATCTTGCTATCTGCTTGCCATTCATTGTTGTTCAGTTGCTAACTAATGTCCAACTCTTTGCGACTCCATGGACTACAGCATGCCAGGCTTCCCTGCCCTTCACTATCTCCTGGAGTTTGAGCAAACTCATGTCCATTGAGTCAGTGATGCGATCTAACCATCTCATCCTTCTCTGCCCCCTTCTCCTTTTGCCTTCAGTCTTTCCCAGCATCAGGGTCTTTTCCAATAAGTCAAATCTTTGCATCAGGTGGCCAAAGTATTGGAGATTTAGCTTCAGCATCGGTTCTTCCAATGAGTATTCAGGGTTGATTTCCTTTAGGATTGATTGGCTATCTACTCCGTCTTTTTATTTCTTACCAATTTCCAACTTTCCATATCATAAAATGGAGTCACCTCACTCAGGATAGGAACAGTTAGCAAGAAGACCAACAATTCCTACAATTAGGTTTCCCAGTTCACTGTTGATGAGTATGAATTTGGTTTTACCACCAATTGGCACAAGTGGGAAAGTATTTTTCTACCAAAACCCCATGCAGGATGTATGACCTTGGCTTATTTTTCTCTTTTTCTCAGAAGACACTTCTCCCACTGAGGCATATATTCTCTCTGTAAAGATGAGGCTAAGTGGAAAGTTGAGAAGAATCTTGGTTTTCTCTGTTTACTTCAGTTAAGTCATTCAGTCATGTCTGACTGCGACTCCATGGAGAGCAGCACGCCAGGCATCCCAGTCCATCACCAACTCCCAGAGCCTACTCAAACTCATGTCCATCATGCTGGTGCTGCCATCCAACCATCTCATCCTCTGTCATCCCCTTCTCATCCCACCTTCAATCTTTCCCAGCATCAGGATCTTTTCCAAAAAGTCAGTTCTTTGCATCAGGTGGCGAAAGGATTGGAGTTTCAGCTTCAGCATCACATCAGTCCTTCCAATGAATATTCAGGATTGATTTCCTTTAGGATGGACTGGTTGGATCTCCTTGCTGTCCAGGGACTCTTGAGAGTCTTCTCCAACACTGCAGTTCAAAAGCATTGATTCTTCAGCGCTCAGCTTTCTTGACAGTCCAACTCTCACATTCATACATGACTACTTGAAAAACCATAGCCTTGACTAGATGGACATTTGTCGGTAAAGTAATGTCTGCTTTTTAGTATGCTGTCTAGGTTGGTCACAGCTTTTCTTCCAAGGAGCAAGCGTCTTTTAATTTCAAGACTGCAGTCACCATCTGCAGTGATTTTAGAGCCCAAAAAAATAAAGTCTGACACTGTTTCCACTGTCTCCCCATCTATTTCCCATGATGTGATGGGACCAGATGCCATGATCTTAGTTTTCTGAATGTTGAGTTTTAAGCCAACTTTTACACTCTCGTCTTTCACTTTCATCAAGAGGCTCTTTAGTTCTTCTTCGCTTTCTGCCATAAGGGTCCTGTCATTTGCATATCTAAGGTTATTGATATTTCTCTTGGCAATCTTGATTCCAGCTTGTGCTTCATCCAGTTCAGCATTTCTCATGATGTACTCTGCATATAAGTTAAATAAGCAGGGTGACAATATACAGCCTTGTCGTACTCCTTTCCTGATTTGGAACCAGTTTGTTTTTCCATGTCCAGTTCTAACTATTGCTTCTTGACCTGCATACAGATTTCTCAAGAGGCAGGTCAGGTGGTCTGACATTCCCATCTCTTGAAGAATTTTCCACAGTTTGTTGTGATCCACATGGTCAAAGGCTTTGGCATAGTCAATAAAGCAGAAGTAGATGTTTTTCTGGAACTCTCTTGCTTTTTCAATGATCCAGCAGACGTTGGCAATTTAATCTCTGGTTCCTCTGCCTTTTCTAAATCTAGCTTGAGCATCTGGAAGTTCACAGTTCATGTACTGTTGAAGCCTGGCTTGGAGAATTTTGAGCATTACTTTACTAGTGTGTGAGATGAATAAAATTGTGAGGTAGTCTGAACATTCTTTGGCATTGCCTTTTCTTTGGGATTGGAATGAAAACTGACCTTTTCCAGTCCTGTGGCCACTGCTGAGTTTTCTAGATTTGCTGGCCTATTGAGTGCAGCACTTTCACAGCATCATCTTTTAGGATTTGAAATAACTCACCTGGAATTCCATCACCTGCACCAGTTTTGTTCATAGTGATGCTTCCTAATGCCCACTTGACTTTGCATTCCAGGATGTCTGGCTCTAGGTGAGTGATCACATTATCTCTGTTAACCTGAAGCTAATTCAAGGAAACTGCCCCTGGTTGCCTTCACAGGCATCTCATGGTAGTTATGTTTTGGTATCTCCCTAGGAATTTACTTAGTCTCTCTTTATCTTACTTCTTTTTTATGTCTTTAGTTTTTCACCAGTTGGTTTTTTTGTTTTTTTTTTTTTGCCCAAAGCACTGCATTAGGCCCAGCTGACTGGCATTCTTCCTTACAGGTTCTTAACTCAGTTTCCTTTTCAGAGGCTCACAACATTCGTAACTTTAAAGTCAATGGTTGGTTTAAAAAGAAATTTTTTTTTGCATGTCAATCATACATCAATAAAGAGGTTTTTAAAAAAAAAAGTCAATGATAAATCCTATTGTCTGTCATTAAGGCACTGGAAATCTTCAACATCCTCAATTAACACTTTAATACGTACCCCTCTAGACTATCCTCAGCAGTATTCTCCGAATTCATTATCTGTTTTGAAGAAAGGGAAAAAAATATTCCCTAATCTCAAAGGCTTCTCCCTAGCCTCTTTATCAAGGGATATGCAATAAATGTCCAATCTTGACCATCACAGATAACCTGCCAGAAAAATCTTCATGTACTTTTAAACATAAACATACCTAAAACTCAATTTATTTACTATGTTATGGTAATTCATATACCAATAAGACACACATAATATTAAACAAAAATAGTATGGTTTAATCCAAAAATAAGAGTAGAAAAGCACTGATCTTCATTACAGGGTTTTAGGTATAACCTCCCCTCCCCCACCCAACTGCCCACAGGGATTTCATTGTTACTGGAAGACTCTTTCTACCAGTGAAGTTTCTTTACAATAAACCTAGGTTCAAGGGTTCTTTCAGATACTTTTGGCTCTAAGGGTTTGGGAAAATTTGAAGGGCTTCCAGCAGGGAATTAGTGACACTGTAAGAAAGGACAGGGACCATACTCTTTGTATAGAAGTGCCCCTAAGAAAAACTTAAGAGAAAGTTCTGTTACATCAGTTATTTAGCATCTGCTTCCTGACTACCATCTGAGCCACCAGGAGAAGGAAATGGCAACCCACTCCAGTACTCTTGCCCAGAAAATCCCATGGATGGAGGAGCCTGGTGCAGGCTACTTACTGTCCATGGGGTCACAAAGAGTTGGACACGACTGAGCGACTTCACTTCACTTCCTGACTACAGTCAATTAGGTCTTTCTGAATTTAGTCAAACTACTTTGAGTTTACAAACATAAAGCAAATTGAGTTAATTCAGTAAAATAAGTTGTCTATAGAGATACAGACAAAGATATAACCAAAGAAATCAGGATAAGAAAGATCTAGCCTCTTCCTTCCATTTCCAGAACTGCTGACATAAACTGTGTTTATTTCCAGCATGAATTAACATAGGACATAATACATGGGAATATACACACACATACATATAATCACAGTCTGATTATTCATTTAACAGTCCAGACCAGACATAAACTAAAAATATTTACTACCTTTTGTGTTTCTTTATTTTCATATCTGTTCATGCAATCATTCATTCATTTCTACTAGACTTTATTCCCATAGGAGTTAGGGATGGCTTACTTCAAGGATATATTCTTAGCAGATCTAGTTTCTTTTGTTTTTAATTTTCTTATCTTAAAACATCATCTGTTTTATTATTATTTCTACCATTAGGACAGGGCTGATATAATAGCCTTTCCTTTAGAATTGGCATCAATCTTTCCACAGTATTCTACAACCATTGTTGTACTTGTTAGAAACAAAATCTTACGAACCCTATGACTGACGTCTCTATTGTTCCTGTGCCCTTTTAAGAAAGTACACCCTGAACACTTCAGCGTGAGCCAGGTGACTTTAAATGGCTCTACTGCCAAGCTTTGACTCTTCTGGTGACGCATCTTTGATAACAACCAGCTCTATAAATTAACAACCATAAAGGTCCTTTAATAATGCTGGAACCTGTTTAATTGCTCTCCTTTAAGAAGCCAAGGGAAATATATTTCTATTTGTATCTGACCTTTGGGATTTTCCGCTGTCAGTTTAAAGTCTGTGGGAGGGTGACAGAGAAATTTAACAGCTAGCTAGAAAAAAGAAATGTATTATTATAACTAAAATCAACCAAGCTGGGGAGGAAAGGGCTGGCCAAACGCCTTGGATTACAAAAGCAATCTTTTATCCAGAGTGGCTGTCCCAAGCTAACTCAAGTGTCTTGTAATCTCATCCCTGAAGATTTAAACATTTTCACCTATCTCCTAATCATTCACCTCCTTTGTTGGAAAGGCAAAAGAATCTGTATATTTTACAAATTTGATGGCAAAAAGCCCAGAAACTATGACACAAATGTATCACACAGTATTATTTGAGCCTAGGGTAATAAATATTTTCTGTCACCCCCGGTATATATTTAATAGAGACAGCCTGTATCTAGTATGATAAAGGCAATATAATACTTAGAACTGTAGCTAATAATTGCAATTCTGCACCATGGAGAAGAAAGTGATTGCAAGAAAGTTGAAAAGGTTTAATTTGTCTGAGGCACAAGTAACTACTTACACAAATATATTCCTGTGGCTTGGGGGTAACCTCCTTATTCTTATACTCCTATTAGACAATTCACTTTAATGTTTGGAGCAACCCCAACTCAGAAAAGGGCAGTGTTGTTTTGGTGTTTGGTATCAAAGCTGGAGTGAATTGATGACAGAGGTAACAATTCACAGTATTTGGCATTTACAAAAGTACTTCTACATCATTTTTAAATTTTTATTTGTAGTACTTCTACTTTAATGTTCCCCTTGGATCTTACTAAAATGCAGATTTTGATTTAGCTGTTCTTTGTTAGACCCGAGGAGCTGCATTTCTAACAAGCTCTTAGGTGATGACAATGTTTCTGGTCCTTGGGTCACACTTTTAAGTAGCAAGACCTTATAACATGACCAGCATGGCATTTGAAAAGCATGGGTACTGCCTGAAGTTGGAACTTTCAGGTCTTCATTCTCACTGACCCAAGAATATGAACACTTGAGTTTCTTTTTGTCCTGGCAATCACTTACCTTGTCAGTGAATCCTATAATCCTGAAGCAATGCTGAATTGCTTCAAACTCTCTTCTGTAAGATGCCTTGGAAGTTATGTCATGCATCACCCTTCCAGTTTCATCAGCTATGTACCTATATGGAGTATGACCACACAAAATGAGTACTTACTTGGCAAATGGCATCCCAAATACCAGGATATCATTGGGCTCCTTCTTTGCAAGAGCATCTCCTTACAGTCTAATACTGTTATGAAATAATGGTGTGCACGGCTCAATAAAATGGCTGCAATTGAGTTTTTAAGCTTTCTATAAAATGCAAAGGGAAATAAAGTTCCTGCCATCTCATGTGGGCATTTTTGGCTAAAGAGACTGTGTGTCCAGTTAGGAGAACAGCTCCATTTCCAAGTTTTGTCAATTGTTAACTGTATATTCTTTACAAATTAGCAACTAAAACCTCTGACACTTACCTAGGAGGCTTTTCCTCAGGAAGTCGGAACTCAGAAAGTTTCTTTTGGTGATAAAGACCAGCATAAATATAGTAAAATATGTGAAAATTTTTCTCTCCTCTGGAAAAAAGCAGGGAAGGGACATTGTTAATAACGTATTCTTGGCTTCTCTATTGGGTGACTTTTCCCTCCCATGCAAAATATTATTCTGTAGCCAATTTGCATTCATAGGCAATTAATATGCTACATTCCTGGAGAAGGAAATGGCAGAATACTCTAGTATTCTTGCCTGGAAAATCCCATGGATGGAGGAGCTTTGCAGGCTAAGTCTGTAGGGTTGCAAAGAGTCAGACACCACTGAGCACACAGTACAATACATTACATCCCAAATACAGAATAGTAATAGGGATAGGATTAGGATAGCAATTTCCACAGTGTCACACTATTAAACACATTTATGTTTTTTTTTCCCCTCCCAATTATTTTTATTAGTTGGAGGCTAATTACTTTACAATATTGTAGTGGTTTTTGCCATACATTGACATGAATCAGCCATGGATTCACATGTGTTNTAATGGTACCTCATCGTGGTTTTGATTTGCATTTCTCTGATAATGATGTTTATACAGAAGATTTTAGAGAATGGAACACTTATAGGAGGTGACAACTCAGGTTACTTACGTTTAGAGATCTTTCTATTCCAGACCAAATAACTGCATCTGTGTCACACATCTTGTTTGAAGCCCATGTTGCATCAGAGACAGTGATATCCAACTTACAAAGATCACCCAAATTCCCTACTTCACTGAAGCCCAAGACAAGAAGCAGCTTACCAGTAGTATAGCAAGTTAGGGAAGGGAACTGGTCCCAGAACTAAGGTCTCCACTGTCTCAAACTTGTATTCTTTCAAATACAATCCAAAAGTGGCATGCATCAGTCTACCTAGTCTTGTGGAATGTACCTGTTTTTAGGCCACTCTGGCTAGGGTGGGTGCTTCTGGACTGTGGTCTGTGGACTACAGTTAGCTTATGATGAGACAAAAAACTGGACAGTCTATATCCATACATTTTATAGTAAGTGGTATTTCTATGATATCTGAGAGCATGATGATTTTTCTGGTAATACACTTCGATTATATTTTAAAAAAATAAAATCACAATTTATCATGAACTATTAAAAAAAAAACAACAACTAGTCTTTCAACAAAGATAGTTTGAAAAGTCCTTCTCTCTATCCTTACTTTCCTTTGGAGGTCAGTCTCCTCTGTTGATGCCCTAGGATTTTCACAAATCCTCACCTTGGCCAATGTAGCTCTGTGGAAAGAAATCTTATCTTCCTTCTACTCCTTGTCCCTGTCTGTGACATGGACCCCACTCTTTTCTTCAGTTTCTCTTGGATATTCTCCTGGATATTCTAGCCTTCCTCTACTTGATTATTCCGTCCAAGCTCACCTAGTACATTCTTATCTCTACTAGCCATTCCTCACCCATTTGTTCACTCAACTAATAAACTTACTGAGTGCCAAGTATGGCAGGCACTACACCAGATGCCAGGGATATGGGACAGAGGATTCCTGCTCTCTGGAGCTTCCTTCCAGTGATGGACAGAGATGAATCAGTATGAAAACTGATGATAAGGACTTTGAAAGAAACAATCAAAGGGCTAAAATGAACAACATTCGTGGATGAGGGTCACTTGTGCCCAGTGAAGGGAAGGACTCTCAAAGGAAATAACACAAAAATCAAACTTTAAAGTGTGAGAAGGGAATGGAAGGAGCTACAGGGAGAAGAGGGAAAGCATTTCAAGAAGACGGAGCAGCACGTACACAAAGGCTCTGAGCATGAGATCCATGTAGGGACCAAAAGTCTGCTGGTGAGAAGCCGGTGGACAAGTGGGCAGGGCCAGCCCACACAGATCTTAACAGGCTATAATGAAGATTTTGTTACTATGCAAATAGAATTCTTTGAAGTGTTTGAAACTGTAAATGTGAGACTAGACTGTAAGAAGTTAAGATGGATGCAAGGAGACCAATTAAGAGGACTTGGTGAGAGAATCCTACTATGTGCCAGAGGATAGCAGAACCAGAAAGATCAGACGACCAGGACTTACACAAGTCCCACCTTCTCATCCAATGTCTTCAGTCTGTTTTACCCACCAGTGCTATCATACTGACTAAAATTGACAGCAATAATAAGTTATGGGTTACTAGATACCAATTATTCTATATTTGGCAAAAATCACATATCATCTCATTTAATTCTCATAACAGCCTGTGAGGTTGACTTTGAAAGTGAAAGTATTAGCCGCTCAGTCATGTCTGACTCTTTGCAACCCCGTGGACTATAGCTCACCAGGGTCCTCTGTCTATGGAATTTTCCAGACAAGAATACTGGGGCAGGTAGCCATTCCCTTCTCCAGGGGATCTTCCAGACCCAGAGATTGAACCCGGGTCTCCTGTATTGAAGGTGGATTCTTAACCATCTGAGCCACAAGAGGTTGGCTTTATTATGTCCTCTTTTGCATATGAGGAAAGTAAGCTATAAGGGTAGTTCTATTAATAAGTGACAGAGCTATGATTAGAACCCTCCTTACATTTTCCTTGTAAAAGACCACTTTACATTTGAACACAGGAAACTACAATTTCTATTCTGTCAGAGGTAGTTTCCTAAACTTTAAAATAACCCTAATTTAGAAAGAAAGAAGCAGGGCACCTCATAAAAATTAATCAAGACACCACAGGGAAGCTAAAAATGACTGATTCTATCCTTTCATGCATTTGTTTAATTTTCAAGTCAGTCCCTATTTTGTGAGGAAACTGCAGGAATCTGATAAAAGAAGATGCTGGGGTTCTGAAACTAAACAAGTCCTATGGGTTCTACTTGCACAACCGCTCTCAGATCCATCAGCTCCCCTGCTTCCCCATCTCCACTGCTACCGCCTCAGTTCAGAGCCAACATTCTCTCTCAGGTTGATCTGAAAGCAGCCTCCTAGTGGTCTCAGTGTAATAGTACTTCTTGCATCTTCTCCAATCCATTTGCTCCACTGAAGCCAGAGCCATCATCTCATCATAACAAAATCCAAGTTGGGTTTTGTGACTCCCCTTCTTGAAAACATTAAATGACTTCTTTTTGCCTTTAGAATAAGGTTCAGAAGAATTGTCTTTAGAATAAGGTTCCTCAACCTGGCTCCAAAGCCCTGCATGATCCGGCCTCAATCTTGTCTTTGCTCCTCTCTTCCCCCACCCCTCCACTCCTGTCCCCATCCCATCTTTGGCTGACTTCTAGCAATCCTCAGGGCTCAGATTAAATGTCTCTCACACAGGAAATCCCCTCCTCCTAGGCTAGGCTATTGCCCTTTCACCTATTTACTTTCAGAGTGCCTTACATTGCTTCCTGGCACCTACCACAATTGTTATGCATTAAGCTTATTTTTTTTTTTTTTGCTTAATGCCTGTGACCCTTCCCACACCTGTCCCTCTCTCATCCCCCATCCACTCCAAGTTCCAAGAATACTAGGACCTTGTCTATTTTGTTTACTCTTGCAACCCCAACAGAAAGCACAACACTGGCATGCAGCAGGAATTCAATAGATAGTAAATGCATAAATGGAGCCATGCTCCTGAGGAAGTCTGATGTCCTCTAACAGTAATAATAATGTCAAGAGAGGCTAACTCTCTGATAACATGTACCAACCCAGGCACTTTTAAAAGTTCTTTTACATAAACAAACTCACTAATTTTCATGGCAAACTCATGAGGTCGGCTCTAGGAGCATCTTCATTTCACAGATGAGGCTCAGAGAGGTTAGGTGACGAGGTTAATTCTTAGATAGCTTGATAAGGAGTCAGGAGCCCTCGAGGAGAAGAAAGGGATAAACCTTTTTTCTGTATTGCTTTGTCTTAATCACATAAGACATTTTTTCTTAAACTCTGAGTTATTATGACAACAATCTTTAAGACTAACTTTCTTTAAGCCCAGAGCTAATGATTACACAACAAAACAACTCATCTTGCTCAAAGTTATGTTTTTCCTTAAGCTCTGTACTAATGATTATATAAGAACAATGCATCTTGCTCAAGGACATGTTTCTCCTCTTAACAAGAATCTTCTGACTAATCTTGTTATCTTAAGATGCATGTTGTGGGAGTGGGTCTGGTAAAAGTATATAAGGACTTGATAAGACTAGCGAGTGGGTCACTCTCTGTCCCCCTTCTGATGTCTATGTCAGAAGCTTTCTTTGTCCTTTCTCACTGTAATAAAACTTCTGCAACACAAAAACTCTGCATGATCAGGACTGGTCCCTGAAAGTGAAAGTGAAAGTCGCTCAGTCATGTCTGACTCTTTGTGACCCCATAGACTGTACAAGTCCCTGGAATTCTCCAGGCCACAAAACTGGAGTGGGAAGCCTTTACCTTCTCCAGGGGAACTCCCCAACCCAGGGATTGAACCCAGGTCTCCCACATTACAGGCAGATTCTTTACCAGCTGAGCCACAGGGAAGCCTGACAATACTGGGGTGAGTAGCCTATCCCTTCTTCAGCAGACCTTCCTGACCCAGGAATCGAACTGGGGTCTCCTGCATTGCAGGCAGATTCTTTACCAACTGAGCTATGAGGGCTAAATCTTGACCACTACTGCTATGCTGCTATTTTTTTTTGCTGCACCATGCAGCTTGTGGGATCTCAGTTCCCCAACAAGGGACTGAACCCTCAGCAGCAAGCGCCAGAATCCTAACCACCGGACCACCAGGCAAGCTCCTATACTGCTCTTAAAACAAAGTAACTTTTTCTTCTCTCAAACTAGGGGAAAATTAACATGTGGGATATTCTCAGTGCTTTTGTTTTTTTCTTAATAGACAAGCTCAATTTTAAGGGAACTAGTAATTTATAAAAGTAATTGCATATTGTTAAATTCTACCTGGTATAACCAACTCCAGGGAATGGGCATACCTATCCCAAAGTAATCCCATCCAGCCCTTTCTACTGTGCTTGTAGACATCTTTTAGCTTAGAAGTCACCAGTTATCCTTTCCTTAAGTAGTTTCTTGCCTTTGGGGAGGCTGAGGGTAGGAATGGGGGCAGGGATACTAAGAACAAAGAATGGAATGTAGCCATAAAAATTCCCAAAGCCTCCTGTCTACACTGCAGCACAAAACCAGACTGAGAAAATAGGGCACCTACACCGCCTGTTTTATAACTCTGGATTTTTCAAGGAGATATTCAGAGATTCTTGCTCCCATCACAGCTCCAGTTGGTGTAAACATCATTTCCAGATATTTTCCAAAACGGCTGGAATTGTCATTGATGGCAGTGCATGCATTTCCAAAGGCTTCCACCAGAGAGTTGACTTGCAGAATTTTTTCTCTCAAGGTCTGATTATCTGCCTGTGCCAAACAAAGAACAGTCCAGTGGAGTCTCCAGAAACATTACTCCAGTAGAGCTCCCACACACCCCTCCCAGTCCACAAAAATCACATTTATCTTTTTGGGAAAAACTCCATCTGGGAAATTAGCATCAAACACCAGCACTGTTTTCTCAGATAAGCATCTCCCCTGGTGCATAAGTATCAGATGAGGCTAGGTTAGGTCAGTTTTTATGACCAGCCACATTTCTCTTAAAATCCTTGACAGATAAAATGCCTAGAGTTTAGAAAGAATTTCAAATAGAGAGATTCCATCACTTTTCTCAGTTATTCATTATAATATTCAATAAACCTCCTCTCTAAAAAATACTTAAATTTGTTCTTAGTCTCATAATACACAGCTTGTAAGTAATTGCTAGGCTATTTTTACAGCCATATCTTCAATGTCCATTTCACCAAGCTGAAAATTTCTATTTCCCTCAACTTTTGCTCAAAGATTTCTACTGTCCAATCCTTTAATCATCTTAGTGACTCCCCCGATCCTACTCCTAGCATTTAACCACTTTTACTACTTAATGGCTAACTGTTTGTATTATACTGAGAACAAGAAAAATTAATTGCCAAATCTAGTAAATTCGTGCTGGCATTATTTTCTTCACTACATGAAAGGAGGACATGCTGACATCTTACAAGGCCTAGCAATCAGGAGGCGAACATAATAAAGATGGAATGTTTCTATGTACCGCCTAATAAAATCCAGTATTTCCATCATTTTAGAAATATGCAGTTACTCTGAAGGGACTTCAAGCCACAATACAGAAGGCAGGTCATCATTACCTTTCCCAAGAAGGTCAAATGCTGAACGATCAGGTGGGCACTTTCTGTCTTCCCAGAGCCACTTTCTCCGCTGATGACAATGCACTGATACAGAAAATGAAGTGTTGGTGAAGAATTCATAGCACAGTAAACATCCTGTGTGTTCAGCTATGGTTTTCATATAACATCCACCACTGTTCACCTTAACTTTTCACTGAGCAATACATCTTAGGAATCTTTCCATTTCAGTACATTGAGAGCTTCTTTAACCTTTTTAGTCATTTGTGGCTCCTCTGTACAGATGTACCATAGTCTATTTAACCAGTCAGAATGGATACTTGAGTTTTTCCCTATGTTACTACAAGCAATACTGCAATGAACAGCCCTATGCATAGGTCATTATATTTATGCAGGTTCATTTGTAGAATAAATTCCCAGAAATGGGGTTGTTGGACCAAAAGGTAAACACATTCATAAGTTTGATAGATAATACCAAATCGCTTTCCTAAGGACTGTATGAAAGTGCGTATTCTCCTGCAGCATCACCAACTGGGTATGTTGGATTTCTGCTATTCTGATAGGCAAAACACTGTATCTTGGTACAGTTTTAATTTGCACTTTTATTATGAGTGAGATTGGGCATCTTTCCATAAGTTTAATGTCATTCACACTTTCCTTTTTTGTGTCCAGTCTATATCCTTCGCCTTCTTTTTTTTAATATTATTGGTCTTTCTATCAGTTTTTTCTAGGAGCTCTTTATGTATAAAGGAGATTAGTGGGTGTGGTATAATAAAAATATATATTGGGTCTTTGCCTCTGGTTCCTGACTCTGAGCTCCTAAACTTTTGGAATGTCCTGAATGATAGAAGTGGTGGAGCAGCCTTTGTTATTCACAGAGTCCCTTTCAAGCAAATATAACTGCTAACCAAGTGGTTCAAGGTGGAGCCCAAGATAGCTTCAGGATGGGGGGTGATCACCAAAAAAGACCAAAAAAGATTGAGGGGGAGGGAACTTTCAGCCTTACCATTCCAACTTCCGGGGAGGAGAAAGGGGCTAGAGATTGATTGAGTCATAAAAACTCTTGAACAATGAGAATATGTGTGAATATATTGCAGGCCTGGGAGGGGCCTGTGCCTAGAAAATGCATAGAACCTTTGCACCATTTTCTCCCCTATATCTTGCCCTAAGCATCTCTTCCATTTGGCTGTTTCTGAGTTGTGCCCTTTATAAAAACCCAGTAAACACAAGTACTCTTCTGAGTTCTGTGAGTCATTCTAGTGAATTATCAAACCTCAAGGGGATTGTGGGAATCCCTAAATTTGTAGTCAGCTAGGCAGAAGAGTGGGTAGCCTAGGCACCCCATTCACAACTGGCATTGAAGTACAGGTGGTCTTGTGGACTGAGCCCTGAACCTGTGAAATCTGTGCTAAATCTGGAAAATTGGTATCAGAATTGAATGGAACTGAATTGTTAGACATCTGGTTGGCATCAGGGAATTGGAGAATTGGCTAGTGTTGGTAGAGACACAACATTTGGTGTCAGAAGTGGTGTCAGAAAAAAGATAACACAGTGGGATAACTTTGTAACTTGAAAAACACATATATCTCCCTTCATTTACTACTGTCTATGAATTCTGTGGACATTTCACAAATCTCTGGGAAAGGTAATAATTTGGAGAAGTCAAGTTTCTAACCTATAGTTAATCCATGTATTCCGTTTTATAATTTGCACTATTAAAATTTCAAGTGATCCTCAACAAATCCAAAACTGGACTTCACAGGTCTCAGGAAATATGTACATTGTGCTTCTCTCTTAAAAATTTCTCATGCAATTAGACAGTTTCTATTTCAAACAGAATAAACACACAAGGGGAAAAACACACACGACAAGTAAAGGAAGGACCAAGGCTGGATGTATGCCACCACTGTGAACTGGAGGTCCAGACAGCTGAAATGTGCGGTTGAGCTTTCTGTTACTAGCACTGAGTTTAAGATTTGTGCAGTTTTTACCCAATTCATCACAATTTCTTGGCAGCTAAACTGTGCGGTGCATGACCATTATCAGCCTGTGTGCAGTGTTTCATACAAAAAGGATTGGACCATGAACTTTCTGAAACCTTCCTAGGAAAGAACTTAATTTCTGTCATTCTCCATCTTGTTTTTATTACAGTCATTACCATGTCATCAGTTTTGTGTTAGCTCTTTGTTCTCGTACTAGAATTATCTTATTATATTTTAGGGATTCCCTGATAGCTCAGTTGGAAAAGAACATGCCTGCAATGCAGGAGACCCCAGTTCAATATCTGGGTCAAGAAGATCTGCTGGAGAAGGGATAGGCTACCCACTCCAGCAATCTTAGGCTTCCCTTGTGACTCAGCTGGTAAAGAATCTGCCTGCAATGTGGGAGACCTGGGTTCGATCCTTGGGTTGGGAAGATCCCTTGGAGAAGGGAAAGGCTACCTACTCCAGTATTCTGGCCTAGATAATTCCATGGACTCTAGTCCATGGGGTGGGAAAGACTTGGACACAACTGAGCGAATTTCACCTTCCTCTATTATATTTTACCAGGGAAAATGAGTGTATTTGAGGAGGATGTCTCACATTTCTTGAAAAGGGTTTCTACATTCTCTTGTTCCTCTAGTTTATCACTACTCCTGTCCCACTGAGCTACTATTTCATTGCCTATTTCCTTGAGTCAGTATCAGCAACCAGAACAGCAAGTTTTTAGGAAAACTCAAGAGCCGCAAAGGAGGACAGAAAACATCCTATTGTGGGACTTGGTGGGGAGGACAGTTAAGTTCTCACCTGGTCTTTGCTGAAAGTAACCATGCATTGGTAAGCAGCATCTGCTGATGCAAATATGTGGGGGGGATTTGAGGCACGTTTCACTCCATGATACAGTCTGGAAAACTGAAAAACATTAATTTAAAGAACTCTTCTAATGTCCCAGTGCCCTTTGCCCATAAAACCAAGGCCTTGTCACTTTTCAGGGGAATTGTGGCGTCAGGGAGGCTGTAGAGCAGAGGCTGACTTAAAATCCCAGCTCTTCACTTAGTGGCTCCGCAGCTCATTCAAGGACACTAACTTCACTATGTGGAATCTCCTCATGGCCAAATAGGCTTACTAATAGTACCCATCACGCAGGGTCATGACAAATAGCCAAGGTAACCCAATGCCCAGTCTACAGTAAACACTAATTGAATATTATTAACAATTGTTATCGTTACATCTTAACTTAAAAAGCCACCCCCAAAATGTATGAATTTTGTTGCATTATTATTTTCAGTTTGGGGCATGCCCACCCATGGTATTTTATTCTCACTTTTTCTCCCTTTTCATTTTTCCTTGAGATTTCAAATTTCCTGTTAAGGAGCCACATGCTCATAAAACATTCCTTACCTGTGGAGAATATATGCTTAGATTCTGGAAGGGGTTTAAGGCAATTAAGATATCTCCAACATATGTGTAAATAAGTAAGTCCACATAACGCTTCTGCAGCTGATGAATAATTGTATCCTAAGAAGAAGATAAATAGTACTGAGAGTAAACATTATTTCTAGTCAAGGGAGAGATCCTAAAAATAACAACAAGTGTATTTTTACAAGAACAAGTTTCTCCAAAAGATTAAAATAGTCCATTTAAATCATATCCTATTGATTAGGACCCTAATGATCATAAATGCAGATATTCGCCTTGAAAGAAGAAAAAATTAGGAATATGCTATTCAAAAGAATTCGGCCCATTTAGGACTTCCTAAAAAACACTGACATATCTGACAAAAATTGTGTTATTATGAAAAAACTGTTTGATCCCATCCAAATGTTCTATTCAGAATTCGATTTAATAGGCCATTCCTATTAATAAAGTACAGATAAACTGTAACTTCATTTCTCAAAGCATTACACTTAAAATTTATGTGGTGGGAATGTAGAATTGAACACTTTTATATCACACTTTAGTGATTCATACATTGCATTTAAGGGTCCCCAGAGTTAGAAACAGCAGAAGCAGGTCCAATGCAATTAACAGCTCTATTAAACATGCATATTTTAAATGGGGATTATCACAATTTTCAAATTTGGAATTCAAGCTATATTAGCTTCACTATTTCCCTAAATGAAGCTCTTCTTTATGAAGAATAAACAACTGTCTTAATTTAAGGGTTAAATTGCACCATTCTATAAACAGAAAATAATTTCAGCTGATATAAAAACATCTTTTAAGCCTGCAATATAAAAGCCTTCATGGGAAAACTCCAAATCCTTTTCTCTTCATCATTTAGGACATATAGGGGACTATAAATGAACACAGAACAACACGGGATCATAGTCACAGCAGCCAAACACCCTTGAGTTTCACCCCAAGGCTACACAAACAAAGTTTCAAGTGACCTTAGGAGAACATGGACTACAACAGAAAGATCAGACCAGTCATGTGAAACAAATGTCCTTGGTGAAAATTGCCTATTAAATATTTAGTACCTCATCCAGGACTTCCATATTGACCAAGTCATCCTCAAGGCAGTATTTTTCAGCATCTTCCACATGATAGGGTCTTTTGGTATGCATCCGTTCATGCCTAGAGTTTATGCAGAGAATATTAGTACTAAGGCAGTAAAAAATATAGCAGAAACTAGGCCACAAGAACAATTCAGCCACTGTCTTATCACACAACATGTTCAGAGACTTCAGAGAAGGGACAGGAAGAGCAAGCCTAGTCCAGACCCCCAGCCCTCTCTCATCACTGCAGAACTTCCAGGGGAAATGGGTGCTCCAGCACTCAAGACTTCCGCTGCGGTGAGGAGCACTGCCCATAGACTGTAGCACAACAGGCTTCCCTGTCCGTCACCAGCTCCTGGAGTTTATTCAAACTCATGTCCATTGAGTCAGTGATATCATCTAACCATCTTAACCTCTGTTGTCCCCTTCTCTCCTGCCTTCAATCTTCCCCAGCATCAGGGTCTTTTCAAATGAGTCAGTTCTATGCTTCAGGTGGCCAAAGGATTGGGGTTTCAGCTTCAGCATCAGTCCCTCCAATGAATATTCAGGACTGATTTCCTTTAGGATGGACTGGTTGGATCTCCTTGCAGTCCAAGTGAATCTCAAGAGTCTTCTCCAACACCACAATTCAAAAGCATCAATTCTTCGGTGCTCAGCTTTCTTTATAGTCCAACTCTCACATCCATACATGACTACTGGAAAAACCATAGCTTTGACTAGATGGACCTTTGTTGGCAAAGTAATATCTCTGCTTTTTAGCATGCTGTCTAGGTTGGTCATAGCTTTTCTTCCAAGGAGCAAGTGTCTTTTAATTTCAAGACTACAGTCACCATCTGCAGTCATTTTGGAGCCCCCCAAAATAAAGTTCCTTACTGTTTCCACTGTTTCCCCATCTATTTGCCATGAAGTGATGGGACCAGATGCTATGATCTTAGTTTTCTGAATGTTCAGTTTTAAGCCAACTTTTTCACTCTCGTCTTTCACTTTCATCAACAGGCTCTTTAGTTCTTCTTCGCTTTCTGCCATAAGGGCTGTGTCATCTGCATATCTGAGGTTATTGATATTTCTCCTGGCAATCTTGGTTCCAGCTTGTGCTTCATCTAGCCCAGCGTTTCTCATGATGTACTCTGCATATAAGTTAAATAAGCAGGGTGACAATATACAGCCTTGTCATACTCCTTTCCGGATTAGGAACCAGTCTGTTGTTCCATGTCCAGTTCTAACTATTTTTTCTTGACCTCCATACAGAGGTCTCAGAAGGCAGATCAGGTGGTCTGGTATTCCCATCTCTAAGAATTTTCCACAGTTTGTTGTGATCCACATGGTCAAAGGCTTTGGCATAGTCAATGAAGCAGAAGTAGATGTTTTTCTGGAACTCTCTTGCTTTTTTGATGATCCAGTGGATGTTGGCAATTTGATCTCTAGCTCCTCTGCCTTTTCTAAATGCAGCTTGAACATCAGGAAGTTCACGGTTCGTGTATTGTTGAAGCTTGGCTTGGAGAATCTTGAGCATTACTTTGCTAGCATGTGAGATGAATGTAACTGTGCAGTAGTCTGAACATTCTTTGGCATTGCCTTTTCTTTGGGATTGGAATGAAAACTGACCTATTCCAGTCCTGTGGCCACTGCTGAGTTTTCCAAAATTGCTAGCATATTGACTGCATCCCCTTTCCTGAATGACCACTATTTGGTGGGTATTCTTCCTGTCTATTTAAAAATACTGGTCATATACTGATATGTATTCATGAACAACACAGAGATTTTATACATTTAGTTATAAAAATGATATCATACTGTTGGTTTCATTCTGCAAATTTACTTTTTTTTCATTCAATATCAGGATCCCCCTCACCTCCCTCTATATACATCTAGAGAAAAAGAGAGTGAAAGAGAGCTGTGATGATAGTGGGTATAAAAGATAATAGAAATAGACAGACACACATACACACACATACATAGAGACAGAGAGAGACAAGAAACAATGGGGAGAGAGAAAGAGAAAGATAGTGAGTGACCAAGTATCACGTTAATCATGGGGTAATATTACATCATATAAATATATGCCAATTTCTTTAGCCAGTCTTATATTGATCAGCATTTAGGCTGATTCCAGCTTTTTACTATTATAAACAAAACAGCACTCAGTATCTTTATCTGCATCCCCTTGCATATATTTGTGAGATTTTCTCTAAGGGCTGTTGCTCCCCAGGCATTTAAAAACTCCCTGCCTATTAAATTAAAAGTTACTTCCTGATCCCTATTATTGATAGATTTGAGGAAGGAATATTTTAAGCATGGTATTAGTCATCTCAAGTACTAGAACCAATTTTGCTGCTAATTCATATAAAGCTCCAAAGTAGATGAAACTTAATTTTACTTAATAAAGTCAAATTTATAACCTGAGCATTTAAAAGTTGTTATTAAACAGAACAGTTTATTCATCTCTATTCTTATCATATTAGTGATATGAAAGAAAAATCATTGGTTTGGAAAACAGCTTTTTATAAAAACTCAGAGCTGCTTCTATCTAGCCACTTTGCTAAATAAAAAAGGAAGAAGGTCCATATTTCTGGCCAAATCTTATTCACATAAAGCCCAGTCACTTTTATCCCTTAAAGTTCATCATAAAACCAAATACTGTAACATATTTTTAGTAAGCTAATTAAATTCTCATCATTAATTCAGCTAGTTTATCTCCTTCCTAAATTTATAGCTTGCAATCATATGAAATAGGTTACGTTAGAGTTTATTTAAAGCATCTTTTAACAAAGAAAGTCAGGAATTTAATAACAAAGAAAGTCAGCCCTGGTTCCAGAGCAAGGACTCTCCATTCTCTCTCTGTACTGAATGCAAGTAAATATGTTTGACACAATGCATGGTATTCTGAGAGATACACGGTAACAGGCTGACTAAGGGAATCAGAATTCAAAATATCACTGAATGAAACGGCAAGTTTCCTAGGAATTTTTTCTCCCAGTAACTCCTGACCTGAACTTGAAGTCAGCCTGATCTGCATACAAGGATGTCAATCTTCACACTGTGTGGCATTTTTATAATCAACTAAAAATGGAAGCACTGACAAACCTCAGTTGCATTATCACAAATAAACTCTAGTACAAAGTCCTGACTTTAACTATGAACATGTACAATGCAATATTGAAAGACTGAAATTATTATCTTCTGAACTCATAGAGTTAATCTATATGCCAATCTATCTGTCTCACAGATTTAACCTCCAGGAATTATGCAGATGCTATCTGCAAATATGAAATTTGATTCTCATAAAATCTCCAGTAATATTTTATAAACAAAAAACTTTTAAAAGATTTAACCTGCTGTCATTAGCATGTATGACCTTTCCTCATGTGTATAAGCAATTAACTTTCCTAGAATTATTTGCTCCCAAAATTGAAACTAGCAATCTAGAAGTTGATGTAGATGCAAGGTATTTCCATTCTGATAAAGGCCAGTTCATTTTCTCAACCAGGGGAAAAAACATGTGCCAGCCCTATCTCTATCTTCCTCAACTAGTGTTCTTTTGAAACTGCTACCTGCTTCATTTTCCTGCTTTGGATACAGGAAAAGTTTAGAGAGCATAAAGAGAAAAAATTATTTACTCCAATTTTTATATTTTAAAATTGACATTATCCTAGATTACATATTTATTCAAAGTGTAACACGGTTTTATATTGTGCATTTTTAGTTGAAATTAATCAAAATAAATTTGGTTTAATGTTTTTACAGTTTTCTTGAGTTAAATAATTTGTTGTCACTGGTTAACAGATGACACCACCCTTATGGCAGAAAACAAAGAAAACTAAAGAGCCTCTTGATGAAAGTGNAAAAAAGTGACAAATATGGTTGCAAGAATTCTACTTGATGTGAAAATATGGACTGTAAGGAAACTGTGAAAAGTTATGTGTCCATATTATACTCTCTAGAACAACTGCTAAAGAAAGCTTAAAATATATTAAAAATTAAGAGAATGATATACTAAAATAGTATATATACTATATAGTATATATACTATTAAAAATAATACTACTGTTATTTAATCTAACTATTGAAATAGCAGACAGGCAGTAAAATTGGAATGGTGAAATAAGAACAAGAAAGCCACCCCCCAACCAAAAAATTAAAAACTGGAAGAATAAAATTTAATATCAATGATTATATTAAATATAAATGATCCATGGGCATTTATTAAGAAATAATTAAAAGATCATTTACATTTTAAAATATAATGTAGAACTATACATTGTTTACTTGTGGCTTAACTGGTAAAGCATCTGCCTGCAATGTGGGAGACCTGGGTTCAATCCCTGGGTCGGGAAGATCCCCTGGAGAAGGAAATGGCAACCCACCCCAGTATTCTTGCCTGGAAATACCATGGATGGAGGAGTCTGGTAGGCTACAGTCCATGGGATTGCAAAGAGTCAAACACGACTGAGCAATTTCACTAAAGTAAGCAAAAGGTATTCTATTAAACTAAGAGTTATGGTAAGGAATTACAGTTTTGATGATTTAGAAGATATTTTCAAAATTCAGTTTTTTGCCAGATTTTCTATTCGTTTTTATGAAGCCCTAAGTGCATTGTCTGCCACGCCTGGATTTCCAGATAAATGGTGTTTTGTGGTTAAAGCTTACAGAAGATGAGACTCAAAGCTCTGGTTTAGGCTGGTTCTCAGAGTTTGGGTTTCGTGTGGTAGTGGGGGAGGCAGTGGTGAGTAGGGTTGACCTAAGGATTCAGGGTTCAGGAAAAGAGGATACTGCTATCTGAGTCCCCAACTCAAGCAAGGTGGGAATGAGTGAAAGTCTGAAACATCAAGTCTAAGGAAATAATCACTGGATCTGAAGAGTGGGTGAGCCAGAGCCAGAGGTAGAGGCTAGGAACTTCTCTAAAACAAGGGTGGGCACAAATGGGACACAGGATGGAGGGATTTTTTGGAATGCCTTAGGTCCAGCTCATGAAGAGGAAAGGAGCTGTAGAGAGTATGAAGCTAATTCAGACACTGAGAGAATAAACCCTGGAGTGCTGTTGCCATCACTATAATTTAATCTCTATATCTGTATTAGGTT